AGTACATAATTTGAGTCATCCTGGGATCAGAACGACACGAAAATTGGTACAAGAACGTTTTTATTGGCCGAGTATGAACCAAGATGTTAGCCAATGGGCTAAAACTTGTGTTAACTGTCAGCGATCAAAAGTAAACAGACATACAATGTCAGCTTTAGGTTCGTTTCCTCAATGTAGTAGATTTAGCCATATACACGTAGACCTGATTGGTCCGCTTCCAATTTCAGCGGAAGGCTATAGGTATTGCTTAACTGTAATAGACAGAGGAACACGGTGGCCAGAATGTTTCCCTACAAAGGATATAACCACTGAGACTGTTTCACGAGTTATATATGAAGGTTGGATCTCACGTTTTGGTTGTCCGATAAAACTAACCAGTGATCAAGGACGCCAATTCGAAAGTCAATTATTTTCCTCATTAATGAAGTTATTAGGTATAAATAAACTGCGTACAACACCTTACCACCCACAGAGCAATGGGGTAGTAGAGCGTTGGCACAGGTCGCTTAAAGCAGCGTTAACCGCTCGCTTATGTAACATAGCCACATCTTGGGTGATCGAATTACCAACTGTTTTATTAGGGCTTAGAACGGCAGTAAGAGGCGATAATGGTATAAGTGCCGCAGAAATGACTTATGGTACTACTTTAAGATTACCTGGTGATTATTATGATAACAAATCTAACTTAGAAATAGATAGTAGTCAAGAGTATGTTTGCAAATTAAGAGAAACCATTAGGAAATTCCATTCAGTAGCAATCAGGGAACATAAAAAACAGAACATTTATATACATCCGGATTTAAAAACTTGTAATTACGTTTTTGTTAGGAACGACGCTGTTCGTAGACCTTTACAACCAACCTACGATGGACCTTTTCGCGTGTTGAGTAGAGATAGGAAAGTTTATTACATAGAAATGTCAGGCAGGAAAGCTAGAATATCCATAGACCGTTTGAAACCGGCATATTATCTCAGTGAGGATATTGACGTAACACCATCGGCAAATACTGAGGTTCCGAATACTGTTTCCACTAACACTCGCACCACGCGTAGTGGAAGAGTTAGTAGAGTTCCTATACGATTTAGGTAATAGTAATATAAATGTACCACGATTTTATAATTCAATACATTATTATACCATGTGTAATTTTTCCGCATAAATAGGTACTGTATGTGTACAATGTAGCTTACTAAGTACTATAATATAGGATCACGTCCAGTAAAAGCTAACACAATGCAACTGTCGTAATATAGTCTACAGCCAGTACGTAGCATAAATGTAACAGCTAGCATAGCTATGTGTAGCTGGAAGTATGACAACAACTTTAGAAATTAATAAAGTAGGTTACAATATAAGCATTTTTATACGTTATATACAACTATTTTTACATAAATTTTATTGTTCTATTGATAACTAATTACATTAAGTACTTATTGTAAAATTTATTACCATACTTATACGATGGGTAAATCATACAGTAAATCAGAGGAAATAATCATAGCCCAAAATGGTGCAAATAACGCGAGTCAAAGCTCAGTGGAACAAAAGTTAGAACTATTTGGAACAATAACTGCAAGTATTCTAGTGTTATTGCTATTGTTTGCAATGTGTTTTGTGTTTAAAAAATGTAAAAAAGGTGCGAAAAATTGGGCTAGAAAGGAACTTACCACTGCCATGTCATCAAGCCAAAATGACAAAGTTGGGCAGCAACAAGCACCAAACATACAATACGCGTAGACTTTTAGTTTTAGAGTGTATATGCGCTATATATATTTTACACCCATTTAATTGGTATTGTATAACTTGTATAACCTTAACTTGTTTGAAAACTATAATTGTACTTGTACTTCTGCATCTCCTATGTATGTTTCAAATGATTTGTATTTTAATTATGTTAATATATATTTTTTTTAAAAAAAGGGGAGGAATGATGTAGCGACGACAATGCACCGCATAGGTTTTGCAACGTTGCATTTATGCAACGTAGGGCAGTCACGGGCTTGTCGGGTTGCGAGTGGGTCGCGCACATTGTAATTAGCCTAAGTATTTTTTGGTAATTATATGGAGTGGAACTTTGTCGTTATCTCTTATTTACAACCCGAACCCGTGTCTCAACAAGATCTTGTTTTCTAAACAATTGTTGTATACAAAGATTAAGCTAGCATTAAAAAACTAAATACAGCCTCATTGGCCTAGTTGTCGTAAATGTGACTGCCGGGCAAGGGGTCTTGGGTTCGAATCCCAGGTCGGGCAAAGTATTAGTGGGTCGTTTTTAAAAATTCAGTAGTAGCACGGAATCTGGAAATGAGCCCGGTATATGGCTCACCCTCTTGAAATGTTATTAAAAAACTAAATACCGATTTAAATAGGTACAGTAGCATACTATAACTACTTAAAATTAAGTATTTGTTGAAAAAAATAACCATAATATATCTAAAATTGCGCGTTGCTCGCGTGAATATACTGAGAAAAGCTCTACTAGTTTCGAACCACAGAGGGGTTCTTCCTCATGAGTGAGCTGCGCGACGTCGCCGCGACCGCGCACGCTGCTCATGAGGAGCTACTCTTACTAACTAACTAGTAGAGCTTTTCTCGTTTTATTAACGTGAGTAACGCGCGACTTTAGTTAATTTTGTATGTCTCACGATAGTTATTATAAAAACATAATATATCTGCCACAGGCTCTTGATAAGGGGTTTAACAAGGAAAATCCCTGGGCAACCACTGACCACTGCTAGTCATAATTTCACAGAAATATATGGTTACATTCTTTGTTAACTCAAATCAATGTCACTTTGCATACAATTCGATTGTTGTCATCATCATTGTCATTTTCTTTTAATTAGAACGAGACAACAATATCAGGCTCTTTGTAGAACCTTTGTGAATGAGCTGCCAAAGATACTGATAGCCAAGTTATCGTGTAATGAAAATGGAATACGGGGGTCAGGATGTAAATATAACATTACATTACATAACATCACGCCTTTTATCCCCGAAAGGGTAGGCAGAGGTGCACATTATGCCACTGTACAATGTAACATTCACTTTTCACTATTTATGTTATGAGTCCTATGTAATAGGGGGTGAGTCTATTGCCATATACAAGGCACAATTTCAGACTCTGTGCTACTAGTAACTGAGATTTTTTTTAAAACCCAGTAATACTTTGACCGACCCGGGAATTGAACCCGAGACCCCTTGCCCGGCAGTCGCACTTGCGACCACTCGGCCAACGAGGCAGTCAGCAGTAGAAAATTTAAAACATCGCGAATTCTGATCACTGAAATGAGTTAAGTATATCAGTTAGGGTTAAAATAAGATCCATTATTCACTATTAATAATTATTATGTTACGAGTCCTATGTAGTAGACGACGAACTTAATTATTGTGCTAACCCTAATTTTGTGCTATCATGAGAATTAAGCCTCGCCCAACCAACAAATTAAGAACCGAACTCAATGTAAAACGTCCGGTACAATATAATCTAGGTTTTTGATAGAAATTCCATAGGACTCTTGCCACCATTATAAGGTTGACGCTTGAAAAGAAACCTAGAAGACTACTTATCCATAGTAGTATTCATAGCAGGTACATACATTGATACTATACAAATTATACCTATATTTTAATTAATTTTTCAAAATCTCGTTTTATAATTACTCATAGAACTTGGCAACAGGCTTGACCCATATTCTTAACCGACTTCAAAGAAAGAAGGAGGTTCTCAGTTCGACCTGTATGTATGTTTGTGCGTGACTATATCATGACTGCTTGAACCGATTTTGATTGTGGTTTGCATAAAAGTCAAACACTTTTACACATATGAGAAGGTTCTAGTAGAATATTAATTAATTGACTTCAAAAAAAGAGGGGGTTGACGTCGGTTTTTTAAACGTAGCTTATGAAATATTTATATGTTAAGGATTCGTTATCAGAATAAACTTATCAATGCAATTATAACCGTCAATAACTTGTATTAGTAATAATAATAATAAAACATTTATTTGAAGTAAACATGGTATAAAATAGTCTTAGGTTAGATCATTATAACTTGACACAAAGATATATGTTGACTATGTGAAGTACATGAGTGATACACTCGTTGGATTATTTAACATACTATAAATGGCAATGTAATATGCTAAGAAGTCAACGTAAAAGAATTCGGAAGTAATAAGTACTGTGGTTGAACTTATACTTCATTGTGCACTTTAAGATTAATGACATAAAACTTAGTTTCTCGTGACCAATACTTTTTATAGAATAGAACTACACAGTGGGGTAAAGAACAACATCAGTAGTAAAGTTCATTATAACTTATTTCTACCGGGCAAGGGGTCTCGGGTTCGATTCCAGGGCAAAGTATTACTTAGTTTTAAAAAAAAAATCTCAGTAGTAGCACGGAGTCTGGAATTGTGCCCTGTATATAGCAATAGGCTCACCCCCTATTACATGGGACTCATAACATAATTAGTGAAAAGTGGGTGTTACTTCTGTGTGCACCTCTGCCTGCTCCTTCGGGGATAAAAGGCGTGGTGTTATTTATGTTATAACTTATTTCATAAACTTAAGCCCACAAGAACATTGGACCATAATTATAGACATGCAGTGGTACTTGGTAGCAGAATTACGTCAACTTCACAGAATCTTAAAACTTTACCTACATTACCGGTAAACGTCTTAGACCAACCTAATATTTATTTTATCTATATTGTCTAACGGTCACTGACCCCTACTAGACGTCATTAAAATATTTTAAGGAATTTGTTAGACGTAACATCTGTGATCTACCTGTTTAGCGTCAAAACTGAAATAAATCAAGTTAGAAAGCTTAAGATAACATCTTGTTCAGCATAAATGACTAAGCGTTATTTCGTTTGCGTGACGAAGTGATTACAAATAAAATAATGTAGTTTGGTTGTTTTGACAATTCCAGTTAGTACTTCCGTATTGTTGTCAACAGAATTATAATTGAAATAAGTAATTGTTAACTCACAAACTCTGTGTTTCCTCGTTCTTTGTCGATTAGGTTGCCATTGCTAATGATTGCACTCTTGTCATTAAGCGCCGGCGCCGGTCCTCTTCCAAAAATCATCTCGACCTCGTCGTTCAAACTCCGATCGACACTTTTCTCATTCTCATTCACAATTTTCAATTTCACGAGATCGTTAGCCATTGTTCACAACAATAAAAATTACTGAGTTAATTTATAAAGACTTTTTTTGTTAATGTTTAATTGCTTCGATCAATTTAATTAAGATGAGAGCGCGCGCGCACGTTTGTTCTACACAACGTTCCGTTTAACACTGGCCGTCAACTAGCAAAATTACAGTCGTGTGCGTGCTAATAACTTGAATCTCTATAAATAAAAACATTACGCGGCCAAATTTAACTGACTGTCAATATCTATGAGTTACTGCTAACTATGATGCCGATTTTATTTATACGGGAAGTTTCATTGGAAAACCCAGAGAGTACGTTAAAATTTTTGTTGTGACGTACGGTACTTAACTGGTTAGCGACGTCACACTAAAAATTGGCCATAGTTAAATGGTATGAGCCTTATAAGGTTATATACGAACATACATAATAATATTATCGTACTGTATCGAGAAAATAATCTCTAAGTTCGAGTTCATTAAAAGAAATCATTACAATGGAGTTTTTATCTATAAATATATTTCTAGACTGTATGTGTGTGCGTGTGTGGTGTTGTTATGGTTAATTTAATATCTAATCGAACTGCGATACTCAGAGACAATTAATGATTACTTAATAGTTTAAGTTCCGCCGTTTAGTAGGAGAAGTAATATACCTAAGCAGGACAAGTAGAGAAAAAAAAAAGGAATTATACATGCAACACTTTGTTACAGAATGCAGACATATAGAAGTTAATAAAATTCTTTGCTAAGGGTTGGATTAAGTAACCATTAAATTACTCTGAGTATGGCAGTAAGATCAGATTTTTTTTAACTTCTCAAGGAGCCATCAGACCACCACAGATAGGGCCTAACAGGGCTGATGCCGATACGGAGCCGCGGAAGACTTAATGGGTTGCCGGGGCTCCGGCTCGAAGTGCAGGAGTAGGAACGGGGTGGTTTTTAGTCAGTAAGAGTCTGACACTTCCTCCCGCGTCACCCGGGCAGGAGAAGAGTATGGATGATTTTCTCCCCTCAAAAAAAAGCGGTGTTTCTGAGTGGTATATCGAGATAAATAGATTTCGAGGAAAGCCTGAGACAATTCACTTGCCAGGTCGGCTGGAGAGTGAAGATTACAGTTGAAAAGGTTCACATTTGCCAGGGAGCACTGCTGCCTGGTTTCTGTAAAATGTGTTGTCGCAAATTAGCAATTAATTATTAAACTGTCAAATACCAAGCGGTCACCGGTGACCGCAACCTATTGTTCTATAATTGTGTCTACAAAACCGGTACTCGACGAGTTAATTTAATTGTAATTCACAAATATATTTTATTTGTACAGTAATTTAGTTGAAAGTTATCAAGCAACGTAAAGAAAATAAATAAACATAAATCTGTTCAAAATCTTATATCACAGCTTAGAAAACACTTCATTTTACGTAAGTACTTAGATTTTTTCATGGGACACGGGATAAGATTATTGTCAATAAAGATTCTGATTCGCGAATAGACAAAGGGCTGCCCATGGATACCTGTAACACTGTAGTTGTAGCTGTATCTTACGCATTGAGCCATTGAGTTAAAATCTAAAAGACAACTAATTGAGTTTGGCTTTATAGTCCGTACTCTGAATGCTATTTTAACAGCAACGATAGGGGTTTTATAGTTTTGACATTGAATAATTATTGAGATTTTATTAGATTGAAATTGCACTGACGTTGAGTTTGGTTTCGAGAGAAAGAACCCTGATTTTACAATTAAGTTGCAAAATATTACAGCTGTAGCTCGCAGTGCGTAGTACGTAGCGCTACGTACGTCGCGCTACGATCTACGTGCTACTTACTACGGGCTACATTTAAAGCGCTACGGGATACGTACTACGAACTACGCAGTACGCGCTACGTGCTACGTGTTACATCTACGTACTACGCGCTACTTAGAGCTTGTACACAAAACTACGATACGACATCGCATCGCAAAAATGTACGAGCTCCTTCTACGCATCGCAAGAACTTGAGTCGCATCGCGCATCAAGATCTTATCTTCCCAAATGCTTCTTTGTTTTATTTTTCCTGTACCTCATAAGCAATAACAGAAGTGCACACTTCTTTTTACAATCCATGTCACGACCTAGTTTTCAATTTAAAATACATTTAGAACAGTTGACGGTCGTCGAAGAAATGGACACCCTGGGAGACGCCCAAATCACATCGCAGCAATTAGCATCGTAATTTTTTGTGTACGAGCCCTTAGTGCGTGCTATGTACTACGTGCTACGAGCTAACGTCAAAGTATTTCTGAACTTAATTATAAAATCAGGGCTTTTAGATTTAACTCTAGACGTGTAAGATTTGCAACTTATGGCTCTACATACGATCGAATAAACTTTAAAATAATGTTTTATTTGTTAAATAAAGGTAAATAATAAGTAGAATAAACCATCTGCCTCTCAAGTGAATGCCTGCCAGGCAAGGGGCCTCGGGTTTGATTCCCGGGTCGGCCAAAGTATTACAGGGTTTGAAAAATTCTTAGTAGTAGCGCGGAGTCTGGAAATGTGTCCGGTGTATGGCAATAGGCTCACCGCTATTACATGGGACTCATAACAAAAATAGTGAAAAGTGGGTGTTACATTGTACAGTGGCATTAAGAGCCGTAATGTGTTAAAGGCGTGATGTTATAAAATAGTAGGATAATTTAATACATAAACTATTACAAAAGGAAAAGGGAAAAAGCATTTTTGTGGTGATTTACCAAGTAACGTGCATGACGTTTTGTGACGTATTGTGTTAGGTAGCAACCATAGCAACTTAAATTATTTGAAGTTTTTGACGTAAAATTACAATTAAATACATAACTTATTTGTTTACTTTATTTAAACAATTAATTTCATTGCTACTATTAATATATACAACTCTACAATATTTATATCTTTGTAAAGAAGATGTGCACTTGAGCTCCACGGCCCTAAAGTTTCAACCCCAAACGGTTCGAAAGCATAATTGCCAATCAGGCTATCATACTTACGCCGTTTGAGGTTCTCGGCAGCAGCAGCGGCAGCACCGGCTCGACACGCTGAGCTTGGAAGATGGGATGGCGCCAGAGTATCAACGCAAGTGGCGTCCCATACTAAAGCCCTACCCATCTTCCAAGGGAATAATGACATACCGTCGGGTCTCTTGCCATCGTCGCGTACCAAGCCATTAGGTTCTAAAGTAGCTGGCACGCCAAAATACTAAATAATACTAAATACCAAATACATAACTTCCTAGTGATGCGTGCAGCTCGTGACAGTTCACTTCTGGACTATGAACAAAGGGTTCGCCATAATATGCATGCTCCTTAATGAGTAGTGGGTTCCAGGTCGCAGTTTAAAAGATTCAGGTTTATCACATAGTGCTTCATTTGATTTTGCCCAATCCCTTAATTGGGTCTTATGAAACGCGTGGTAATTGAAGGGGGGGAAGGGGAAGGAGTGACAAAATAGTTTACTCTGCTGAAGTATGTCGCCGCCATATCACACGATAAAATGAAAAGGTGTACCGCTATTTGTACGCCTAGATCATTTATAATAGCAATAAGTTAACGTTTAGGTACACACTGTGGACACTTAAAAATAGGCGTCAGTAAAACTGTACTGATTATTACCTTAGCGATGACGTACCGAGGTCGTACTATTAAACCTTAATCTCAGGCCCCCCGTCAAGTCGAGCGCGAAGCAAACACTGCCGTACCATCCTTTACTGGAATCATTTCTTTATAAGACTAGTACCTATGGCTGTTTCACATATAATCACAAGTTTACAAGAAGTAATAGTCCGCTGATTAACTTCATTCTACTCAAACTATACACAAATTATTAAAAAAATAATACAATAAATAATATGCCCAAGTTTCTACAATAAAAAATTCTGTAAAAAACCCAATCTCAATTGAGCCGCTCGTTCATCTACCAAAGTAGTGAAATGTAGACAAAGTCGTGTCAAGTTCCTTGCTGCAATTTCTTTATAGTTAATGTTGTGTGACTTATCAGTTGAAGGGTACACAAGGGTGCAAGGTTTTTAGAGATAAACGAGCATCTCAATTGAGAATTGACTAGTTTTATACAGAATGTTTTTGGTTGGATTCGTTTTACAGGTTTTCTTTATCTTAAATTAAAAGGATTGTGGTGTTCCAACATTTTGTAACATAAGTTGTATTGATAGAATATAATGGACTGCCTTGTCAGTCGAGTGGTCGTAAGTGCGACTGCTGAGCGTCGGACAAAGTATTACTACGTTTTAAAAAAATATCAGTATTAAGGCGGGGCTGGTACTGTACTCGGTATATGGCAATAGGCTCCCCCTATTACATGGAACTCATAACATAAATAGTGAAAAGTGGGTGTTACATTGTACAGTGGCATTAAGTGCCTTAATGTGCACTTCTACCTACCCCTTCGGAGATAAAAGTCGTGATGTTATTTTGTGTGGAATAGAACACCTGTTATTTATTTATTTCTAAGTACAGTACATTGAGTTCTTAATCGTCTATTACCTTTTGACTTTTCTATACACTTGTTCGACTAGCGTAGCGTTTAAATGTTTTTCGTTGTCGCTGGCATATTATGGTATCTTATTAAGTATAGTAAACAATAGTAAACAGAACCACTTAAACTAGGTCTTGTTAACTGAGTTCGCGTGCATATAATAACTGCAATTTAAATAAGTCAAACTTGAAGGAGGTTGTACGAATTATGTTGAGAATGTCGTGTCGTGTCGTGTGTACTCGTTTCATATTAAAGGGCTAGAGCTTGTGCAGCGCCTGACCGTAACATATTAGCAAAGTTATTTCAAACTGCGTGATGCTAAGATAACTTTATTTTCGTGCATTGCGAAGTACGCAAGGATCGCAGTAGATGGCGCTCTATGTATATTAGATACCTGTATTTACAATGGTTATTTTAACGGCCCTGCAAGAGGCCCAACTTACTACTCCATCCCCTCGCCTGCTGTTGCAGACAGCGACAAGAGACCTCCGAGACGGTCATCGGCGTCCTCACGCCTCCAGCCGGGGACGGTGAGATGACCACGTCATCGATGTTTATTTGTTTCATAGTAAATAGATCATATTTAAATCTTGTTTTGCTTATTGGTATAACAGATAATCATCATTGACTTAACATTAATTTGAATACGTACTTCCTAATTAGGCTACATTTTGATAGTTTATAAATAGGATAATGTTAAGAAGTTTTTAAGTCCATGTAATATTATTTTACAGAAGCCATTCAGGCCCACAGAAGCGATAAATAATTAGATAAAACGACGATAAACTACAATTATGCAGTAAATGTAAATGATAAGATATTATTTTATACAAGTACACCCTTGCTACACACAGTTGCTAAGATATCCTCAATTATCCTATGAATTGTTCGAAATCTATGATACAAACCTTGACAATAAAGAATCATCCACTAAACAGTATATAGCGCGATTATTGAACAGTTATCGATTTGTGTGCGTACAAAGCTTGAGTCATTAATTTTTATTTACCAGGCAAACATAGCATCGATATTATTGTCCATGTTACCCCACGCTAGTCACACCATCTATTGTTGTAAATAGGTAATCAGTACCAGCAACAACTTATCGCATCGCACTTAGAATACCTATTACGACTAAAATGGTTTCGTTCCCACTATCAACTGAGTCAAACGATATTTTGATAACAAAACGATATAATTGAATGATATTATCAGGTTTTAATTCTACAGAAATAATATTCAAAATAGTATCGGTTTACATCAATGATATTTGAATATAAATAATGTAATTATAATAATTCGTTCGTGAAATCTAAAGGCTACAAAATGTCCTTAAAATTATTGGCGTAATATCATGATTACGAATTGTGCAGTAATTACTTACTATGTTTATGAAATGACCTACATTATATACAACAATTTTTTTCCAGGAAAATTCGTCCCATAGCGCACACTTCTTTAGATTCCATTTCTTATGGGATAAGCCGGTAAACGAGCAGACGGATCACCTGATAGTAAGCAATCGGCGTCGCCCATGGACACCTGGTACACCAGAGGCATAACGAGTGCGTTACTGGCCTTTTGGGGTAATTGGGCCCCGGTAACCTCAATCACACGACGAAACACAATGCAAGCGTTGTTTCACATTGGTTTTCTGTAAGACTGTGGTATCACTTCGATCGAGCCGGATTATTCGTGCCGAAGCATTTGGTCTTTTCCCAGAATCTTTCCTATAAAGTCAGCATAATATCTTTCTATTATCGTATCAATAATGCAGGTCCTAATGATGGTAGGGAGTAGGATGCAGGACAATTTCAACTGGCCTATCGAGAACTCATTGGGGGAAGCCTACATGATGCAGTAGACGTCTTGTGGAGTTGTGGGTAATATTTGGTGATGATGCTTACTATAAAGTATGTTAACTATTATTGCTATACACAGGTAAAGTTCGTGTATGATTTGCACTCGAAATAATAGATAAGATAAAGGTATGTTCAGTGTAAGTCATATTCTCACTTCCCAAGACGAGTCAGTTCCGGAACATTCATTTGTTTTAGCTGATGAGACAATCATTACGTCACTTCATTGACGTCATAGCTGGACACAGATTGTAACGATAAGATAGACCATCATCAGCCCGTCTCCCTTCTCTGCTGGATATAGATCTCTTCAATAGGAGGCTACTTAACATGATTTTCAGAGAGAACTTCTGGCAACTACTTATCGAAAATCGTAACTTCACTCCTAGGTGCTCCTACTATGGAACTTTCCCAACAGTATGTTCCTTCCACTACTACCTCCACCGCAGCTTTTAATTTTATTCACTTTCAATGCAAATATAGTAATTTTTCAGCCACAATTACGAAACTCGTTATTTATACAATTGTTTTATTTGACGACACATATGGTACGTAACTACATACATATATTGCACTACTGTTGTAATATTAATTTCCCCATTATTGTATCTATGTGTGCCTAAAAGTAGACATAATAATTAACACAGACAACCTAATGACTTCTGTTATATCGAATTAAATTTAATATTAAATAATCCAAAGTCGTGTCAGATGAGTAAATACGTTCAACTATCAAATTGCATTATCCACAAAATTTATATTATATTTATCTGTACATTTTCTTCAAGTTAATGTAATTTGGAGGCACTATTGTTGAAAAAATGCAATGATTACGTAAACTGCAATATCATACTAAGCTAAGTAATATTTAGGTTCAAAATATTACGATTGTACGTCAATCATTTTCCCCTTTAATTGAAACAATGAATGAAATGAAGTGAAATGATTCACAACTGAATTTTAGGAGTAAACGCCGCTTCCCGTTTCCTAGGAATCAAATAAATATACCTGCATAAGTTTATCGATTATTATAAAAAATGGAATTTGTTCGTGTACCGACGTTATCTCAGTCGATAAGTTTTTCTGTCTACTAGTGTGCGGTATTCGCACAGTATCGTAACAACTTCGCTGTTGTCCGAACGTTGTTGTACGAAACCTAATTGTACAATTTTTCCTTCTAATTAATTAACAAAATACTCAGTCAAGATGGGGTGTGGTGAATTCTTGGTCAAGTACATCTTGTTCTTCGCGAACTTAGTGTTTGCGGTAAGTACTATCTTGGTTATTTTGCTCTGTTTTCGCGAACCGGTAGATTTTTCACTATGTAGTCATGTAGGACGCCGTGGTGGTTGAAAACGTTGAGATAATGTGTGTGGATATTGTCCGACATGTTTGCTTGTGGTGCAAAAAGATAAAGCTATGATCGATAGCAATCTACAAATATTTGATATCGAGAAAGTTCACTATATTCTTCTAGGTTCTATGTAACAATATGTGTGACGTAGTACATTGTTTTAACTTAACATTGATTTCGTAGATAAGTAAACTGTATTGTTTGTAGTTCATGTTAACTGTGCATTATTGTAATGACATTTAGCGTGACTTACTGCATGCAACTAACTGCCATCTACAGACCGATAAAGGCCATAACAATAAGACATTTTAATGAAACTATGATAACCATATAAGCATACATAGACCATATACCACCTATGTACCTAGTAAAACTAAAATACAGTATTGGTCCATGATATTATATTTACGTGTCGATTGGGAACACGTGTAATTAAACCCTGTTGTACCTATCAATCACGTCGCGGAGAACCTAACGGGTAACCGGGGCTCCGACTCGACGTGCAGGAGAAGGAACGGGGTGGTTTTTGGTCAGTAAGAGTCTGACACTCCCTCCCGCCTCACCCAGGCGGGAGCAGTCATTCGAAGATTATCCCCCCTTAAAAAAAAAACTTATCAATCACACAATATCAAAGGATTGAAGGTAGTTGCGAGATTAATGTTTCATTACAATTTTTCTGACAAACAATTAGACACGGGGAATATGAGATGCAAAGCATTTTCCATTGTAGCTTAGTCTTAGTTTAGCGATGGTATGATTGATCACCACTAAATAAGTACTATTAATAAACATCTAACAGGTAAACCGAGTTAGCTTAACAAAGTGTTGACAATAAAAACTGACACAAATGCAGGAAAACGCATGTTCAGATTTCAATTGTTTTTAATCGACCGCATCGTGCTCTTCTCAAATACCAGAATTATTAAGACATTAGGAAAATAATACTTCAATTGTTGACAAAACATTATATAGAAGCGATTAATTTGGATCTGGATCCACTGCGATGCAGGTGACTTCTATCCAATTGAGCTATTCGGAAGTCATTAGAAGTCACCTTATTCAGAATTAGACTTCTTGCGGCTGATATGATACAATTAATTTTGTGGCACCGAACTTATAAGTACCTTATTGAAGCGTACACAGTACTACTTACAGTTATTACAACTGATAACGGTAATACCAGTGATCGTCCCTAATCTCCCACAATGGCCGCACATATCTAGTGATGATATTAAAACTGGACTTAAACACAGAAAAGGAACATAGGCTGTCGAGAGGTAATACCTTGCTAATGGCTTAAAACCTTGAATTATTTAAAAAAAGTGTTTGTAAATAGGTTGTCTATTTCCTACTCCAAAACAAGTTATATCTACTCTTTATATTGCACTCGACACTTTTCAGGAAAACAATGATAACGATATTTTTACATGATACGCGATTACATTAAATCGTGTGTAGATTTACCACTGTATTCCAAACTATTGAGGCGATCTATTCAAATAATACGATTACGGATTAATAGATTATTTTACCAGCCTTAAATAAACAAAAGTCGTATAGATCTATTACAAAATTTACAAACGAGCGAAGAAGGCTATCTACATACAATAATGCGATGACTAACATTTACATAAGTAAACTACACATAGGCTGAGTCACAAAATTATTTACAATGTGAAAGTATAAGATATCAGTTCCTGTAACTGAAGTAACAAGGGAACCTCTATCAGAAGTAACATTACATCAACAATAGTATCGTTATCGCTCAATAATTAGAATACAATGCAAGTCTTTATTAAAATGTTTTACATCGTACGATAGTTGTAATAGTCTAAGAGGTACTAATCATTTCGAATGTACTATGTAAGCTACAAATAACCAGTATAAACTGATCTAAAGGTCATACAAACGGAGAGCACGTTAAAAAACAAAAATGTCTTGTTGGCTCGGACTCCTGGAGGTTTACGACGCCCGGTTCTCATGCACGAGGGTGCGGTTTCGAATCCTAACAAGCAACAGCGAGTACCAATGTGATTTTTTACGAGTCATAATATACGAATGTATGTAGTTTCTAAGATTATTAAGACACCACTGACATAGGTGAATGAATACATCGTGGGAAATCGCCAACCCGCATTGAGCCGGAGTGGTGATTAATCCCCAAATCATCTCCATGCGAGAAGAGAACTATGATCAACAGTATCCAGTTACAGGCTGGTGATGTGTGATGTGACGGGATGAACCACGGATGAACCCTATTTGAAGGGTTGTGGCTCTTACACTATAAACAATTCTATACAGTTTTTAGGTGCGTCGCGACTCTCACACCTAAAACCTTGTGATAAGGTTGATAAGATAATAATGATACCGACTCGCTATAGGCTGCAGATAACGTTCCAATTACTGGTATATTGATTGTACACAAGTTGGGCCACAATTCTGACAAATCCTTATATAACCTGCTCAAAGATAGGAAGAAGTTATGAATCATATGAGAAGTAGGAAAAACTGTGAAAAACAATTTGCAGTATCTTCTACTACACCAACATCAATCAAAGAGCGTATTCCTTTTAAAAGGCCGGCAACGCACCTGTGACTTCTCTGGTGTTGCGGGTGTCCATGGGCGGCCCTGATCGCTTACCATCAAGTGATCCGACTGCTCGTTTGCCTCCTATTCCATAAAAAAAAAACATCAATATTTACAATGCAACACTTGTAATACCACAAGTGTTGCAGGCGTACATAGGCCACGGTAACCGCTTACCATCAGGTGGGCCGTGTGCTTTTTTGCTACCGTCGTGGCATAAAAAAAATTATCTAATCATATACCTAAATCGTGCTCTATAAGTAATCCAAACATCACACACCTACGAGTACGAGGTATCGAACCCCACACTCGTAGACCACAAGTCGCAGTGCACCAGAGTCAGTGTCGTTTAATATTCGATTTTAATAGGAAGTATCTAAGTTTGGAATATATAAAAATGCTACTTGCATTGTTATCTAAATTGAAACGGGAAATATATACCTACTAATTATCCTCATATAGAAATAGGTAACAAGTAAACCTAACTATTGAGTATTAATCTACACAATGTATTGTAATATAGTTCTGATTTATTTATACGTTAGCTTAGGTTCGCAATGATATTATGCACCACCGGTCCTATGGATTTGTATGACGCCTTCTAATTTGGGGTAAATAGTTCTCCCATCGCATTATATCTTGTTTGGATTTCAAAAAAGAAATGTTGACGTTAGTTTCGTGTTTGATCTCAAATTAGTTGGATAGGAGTACCTATATTTGACACGTAAAAGTATAAGTAAGACCTTTATTCGTCGAAATCTCCTAACAGTGAACTTAATGTATCTTCCAGTTGGCTGGTCTGACGCTCCTTGGTCTGGGCATAGCGGTGCAGCTGCAATCCACAGACATCGTGCAGATAGCTGACTACAATATACAGATAGCTCCCATCACGTCTATGGTGGTGGGAGGCATCGTCTTTTTCATCGCCTTCTTCGGATGCTGCGGAGCCATCAGGGAGAGTAACTGCATGCTGGTTACAGTAAGTATATACATATTATGACCTGATAAGACACCTTTATTGTATAAGCGCTTCTCTGACTCCATACTTTGGTCCCAAATCAAGTCAACGTATATCTATATCTAGAATATAGCATTGATTGGCCCCAATGTTGGAACGATAAATTTTCTTGAAACACATTGGCGAGTTGCGTTTTGCGTTAGGGCCAACACTGGGGCCTAACCGCGGCTTACTTGTGTGACCACTGTCATTCCTCCATAGTTCGAAGATAAGCTAAAAGATGTCGCAATTACATCGACAAGCTAATCTTGCATTATGAAGTTTACACGCAAATTCGTTTATGGAAAATTATGTGAATTCAACCTTTGGGTCACGATTCGTTGAAAAAAAGGACTAAGAAAGCTGTGTAAGAAAATCCCCTTTTTCTGAACCAGGGAACATTACATCCTCGTCCTTGACATGTAAAGATTATATTAATACAAATTATGTGTAATTGGTATTCATTTCTACCACAATTTACAGTCCACCGATGTAATAATAACTAATTATAATATTCGGTTCATTTTTTCAGTACTCCATCTTTATGCTGTTGCTGATGATTATCAAGCTGACTCTAGCTATCCTGATCTTTGTGAAGTTGGACGAAGTTGTGGCTAAAGTTCCCTTCTGGCTCAACGAATCCTTCAAACAAGACATGGTTTCCTTCCAGGCTATTGAAAAAACGGTAAGTGAATGCGTCAAAGAAATAACAATAACATATTATGTGGAAGTTTTAGAGCATGAACATAAAGTATGTAAAGAGATGTATTCTTATAGTCGAGGTTTATTATCTATCGAAGTAATTTTATTTTCATATTTTTGTTTGAATGATCCCTCTAAAGCTCCCAGAAAAGAAAAGTACATGCATATTATGGTCGTATACGTACTGTAATTTGAATGAGAAACTTAAGTTTTGTAAACATACATTATGTTGTAGTGTGTGTGCCGGGTGTTACAGTTCGCCCAATAAGTAGCGTTAGCATAACACCTAATTCAAGTTCATCATAAAAACAAGACACATCTTAATTTTAATTGTTTCTGGTTTCAGTTCTCCTGCTGTGGTCCTGAGGGTGCCAGCTCATATGTGCGCACTCCCCTGTCCGCCACCTGCTGTGCCACCGCCCCCTGCACCATCTCCAATGCCTACAGCGGCTGCAACGAACATGTGCAGCAGTTCTTCCAAACCTTCGGCCTCGCCATCGGAAGCGTCATGATAGTCATCGTGTCCATTGAGGTAAACATTTTGTTCAATTTTCAATACTTTTAAAATAAGTACACTTTTAACTTTCAATCAAAAAGCACCATTAAGTTATCGTTGACTTGTGTTGTAGATTTTCATATTAACTAGCTTGGGCAGTAACACGATATACATATACGTACAAGAACATTAAATTGGCTAATGGCGTAGATAAATGGAGGTCATTTGGTTTTTGCGTCTAAAAATTTGATCAATTTGTCTATCCATCCCCTGTCGAAGAGCAAACATTTAGTAAGTTTTCCTAAGGGTTCTGTTACGGAGTGGTTTTAGAGTATTTAAAGGAAACTTGATTTATTCACTTAAAAGATATTTATTGTCCAAAATACAGAATAGATAACTATCCGCAATGACGTTCAAATCCACACTGACTGCAAAGCATTCCATAGGAAAAAACCCGACAGTAAAAATGCCAACTCAGATACACGTTGTGAACGAACGTGAAAGGATAGCGTTGTCATCGTTATTGTTTTATACGCTTACATAATATGGAATTCTGATAATAACAGTTCCGTTTACCCTTAGACCCACTTAGTCAGCCCTCATGATAACCGCGGCAAGAGTAAGTGGTGGCTAATATATTATATTCGGCCTTGACTTTATCTGAATTGTTACCTATGAAATCTGTTTCCAGTTGGTGGCTGCAGTGTTTGCCCTGTGCCTGGCTAACACGGTCCGCAACAAGAGCAGGAGAGCTCGCTACTAAGTACTAAGTAGTCTGTAGTCTAAGCACTATGTGTATAACCTAGTTCATAAGTTTATACTTAGTTGTACTATACGTTACTTTATTAAACTTAAAAGCTTAATGCCACTACTAGTGTTTTAATTTTATTAACATAGGGTTGAGAACCGGCCTCGTTGGCTTAGTGGTCACAAGTGGGACTGCTAAGTATAGATTATAGAATGTGTATAGTGTGGTCTCGAGTATAGATTTTTTTTTGTAAATGCACATTTGAAAGTTATTTCATATACATTGCATTGCATACCTTTTTTTACCGACCTGTAGTATGTATACTCACGTATAACGAACAAAATATGTATTACAAGCTAAAGCTCGCTGTCCAGAGGCCTTAGTCTGATTTACGTTTAAAATATTCGATACGAGTACGCATTCGGCGCTCTGATTGGCCGGCGCCAATGAAGCAACCAATCAGAGCGCCGAACGCGTACTCGTTACGATTACTTTATACGTAAAACAAACTCGTGCTAAGGCCTCAGAACCATACCCCAGCGTACGGCGCTTCTGACGAAGATGTGCTCTTTGACGCTATTTGAGGCGTGCGCGGAACGCCGCGGAAGGCCTTATGGGTTGCCAGGCCCACCAGAGCAAGAGTAGGAATGGGGTGGTCTTTAGTCAGTTAGAGTCTGACACTCCCTCTCGCCTTACCCAAGGTGGGAGAAGCCATTAGATGATATTACCCCCTAAAAAAGCCAATATACTATACTACAATATACACAAGTTTGTAATTAGAATATTTTATTGATACTTTGACAGTGTTTTTTTTTTAAGGGGGGAAAATCATCGAATGACTGCTCCCGCCTGGGTGAGGCGGGAGGGAGTGTCAGACTCTTACTGACTAAAAACCACCCCGTTCCTTCTCCTGCACGTCGAGCCGGAGCCCCGGTTACCCGTTAGGTTCTCCGCGACTCCGAATCGGCATCGGCCCTATTGGGCCCCATCTGTGGTGGTCTGATGGCTCTTTGAGGCGCGCGCGGAACGCGACGCGCCGTACGCTCGGGTCTGTTTCTGGTCGGACGGGGAGCCACCCATGCTCGCCGTCCGCAGGCCCGCGCTTACGGTGGCCGGAGATCGTCCCGCGATCCCCGACGCCCGGTGTGTCCTTCGCGATGGCTGGGTTGCGAGGAGGCAGCGCTTCGCTGCCTCACGCGTCCCGCCTCCTCCTTAGCTAGCATGACTGCTTCGCAAAAGGAGGAGACGGCATCCCAATCCCCCTCGCTCCGCATCATGGCCTGCACTAGGCCCGGACGCGAGAGGTCGCCATCGCCGATCACTTCCCTGAGGACACGGCGGTGCTCAGCCCACGAAGGGCATTCTCCCACCGTGTGTTCCACCGTGTCCTCAGGGCGGTCCTCGCAGTGATGACACCCGGGCGTTTCCTCCCGCCCCATCAGACACAGGTACCTCCCGAAACTTCCATGTCCGGTGAGGACCTGCGTCAGGCGGTAGGTGAGGACGCCGTAGCGTCTCTCAAGCCACTCCTCAAAGAGGGGACTTACCGCTGCGATGGCAGCGAGCCCAGCCCTCGGTTGCGACAGTCGTTGCTGCCATTCCGCCATGAGAATCCGAATTTGGAGACTAACAGGACGACCAAAGAAAATAATTCTATAAGCAATGATAGGAGCATGAAAAGATTAAAGTAGATCCTAATTATATTATTGGGCTGATCCCAAATACCTTGATATAACATAACATAACATCACGCCTTTATCCCCGAAGGGGTAGGCAGAGGTGCACATTATACCACTGCACAATGTAACACCCACTTTTCACTATTTATGTTATGAGTCCCATGTAATAGGGGGTGAGCCTATTGCCATATACCGGCCACAATTCCAGACTCCGTGCTACTACTGAGAATTTTTCAAAAACCCAATAATACTTTGCCCGACCCGGGAATCGAACCCGAGACCCCTTGCCCGGCAGCCGCACTTGCGACCATTCGGCCAACGAGACAGTCACCTTGATATAAGAGAATAGGCGCACATAAATCCGAAGTATTTGTATATGTGTTTAGTATGTATATTATTTAATATTAATTATTTCTTTTTATTGTGTTCTGGCTTCGCATCAACTGCTTCATTTCTCTGCACTTCCCTATGGTTGACTGTAAGAGAATGCCTTAAGGCATTAAGTCCGCCATTCACTGTCATCTTTGGTGAAGAAGTAATAAATAAATAAATAATTAAAGTCTTGCAACACACTTGCAACCACTCCGGTATTGCGGGTTGCGGCATATTTATTCCATCCATCTGATCATTTTATTTACTCTATCCTGCTTAAAAAAAATCTAAAAACGCTAGCAACATAGGTATATTTAAACGTATAAACTTCAAAGGTTACCCCGAAAGGGGCACTCTACTCTAGGTAGCAAAAAGCTCCCTTATTATCACTTGCATTGCAGCATTGCTCCATTCTTCCAGCTGCTGGTTGGCAGCATGACATTCTTCTATGTTATCAACTACGGAAAGATGAAGCACCACACGAACTACAAATACCACTAATCTGGAAGTCATGCCATGAACAAGCCTGTTATTTATCTATTCAAATGATCATGTGAATCTGTATGTACTAGATCAAGCATACTTGCAATAAAGTTATTAGCCTTAACTTGGCAGAGGAGGTGATGCTTACCGTTTCTGTTTGTTATTTTTGGTGATAATATATGTCTACTATAGTGTGGCACTTAAATAAGATAGCTGATGAAGTGTGGAGGAGTAACGAGTCGCGAGCCGCGACCCAGTCCCTGTCTCGCTGACCTGCCGCCAGCTAACGGCACAACTGGTCCTCCTGACAAACCAGCTTCTAGCTGCTGGCAGCGCTTTTAGGCTAGTTTATTTTGTTTGTTTTGTTATAGTGGATCTTTTTTGTTTTTGCCTTTAACCTCTTACTTGCCATATAATGACGGTACTCGACGAGTTAAAGACTAAAGAAAGTCCATAGCAAAAACTGAGACTTTGAGACTGGATTTCATTCGTATAAGTAGTTACTAAAAGATAAGCCGTAGCTTAAACTTACACATCATTTAAAGAGCAAGTAACTAAACTGAAGTTTCGTTTAATTAACAGTAAGATCACTAGAAACTCACAGCTGCCTCTGTCCTTGTTCCTCCAAAACGACATTTGCAAAGAAAAGCTTACTATTCAGCGCTTTAGCAGCTTCAATATAAAACACAGTAATCAGTATCGAATGTTTCTGGCGCCAGTGATACCTACGTAAAAAGCGATATCAAATAAAAAGCGAGTCCAAAAGTAGCAGCCTCGGATAACGGCACCAAGAGTACCTGCACCTTGCACGGGGTCACCGACCTCTACACGATAACAGATGTACGGACAAACAGTAAGAGGAACCTGGACATCTGTGTATCATGATGACAAGAGACATTTAGACCGATATTACCAACATAATACAGCGTGTTTTAGATTACAATAAATTGTATTCCTGTATGATTACATACATATTAGCCAATTTTATCTTTCGTTTTATGGCTACAGTGTTAGGGCAGGTAAACTGGAAATTTCTTACTAAGTATTCATAATTATTCTAAAAGCTTTTACGACTTTCAACCTTAGACATTGAACTCTAAAGTGCATGTAAATTACGCATGTGGGTAAGTACCTATTAATAATTAATGATGTTTGAACTAGAGTGATGTGAAATAACTTAACTGCTAGAATAAGTTAAGGTTTATTTTTGAATACAGGAAAGAGGATGTAAATTATCTCAGCATTTTTTTTTAAGGGGCGAAAATCATCGATTGTCTCGTTCCGCCTGGGTGAGGCGGGAGGGAGTGTCAGACTCTTACTGACTAAAAACCACCCCGTTCCTTCTCCTGCACGTCGAGCCGGAGCCCCGGTTACCCGTTAGGTTCTCCGCGACTCCGAATCGGCATCGGCCCTATTGGGCCCCATCTGTGGTGGTCTGATGGCTCTTTGAGGCGCGCGCGGAACGCGACGCGCCGTACGCTCGGGTCTGTTTCTGGTCGGACGGGGAGCCACCCATGCTCGCCGTCCGCAGGCCCGCGCTTACGGTGGCCGGAGATCGTCCCGCGATCCCCGACGCCCGGTGTGTCCTTCGCGATGGCTGGGTTGCGAGGAGGCAGCGCTTCGCTGCCTCACGCGTCCCGCCTCCTCCTTAGCTAGCATGACTGCTTCGCAAAAGGAGGAGACGGCATCCCAATCCCCCTCGCTCCGCATCATGGCCTGCACTAGGCCCGGACGCGAGAGGTCGCCATCGCCGATCACTTCCCTGAGGACACGGCGGTGCTCAGCCCACGAAGGGCATTCTCCCACCGTGTGTTCCACCGTGTCCTCAGGGCGGTCCTCGCAGTGATGACACCCGGGCGTTTCCTCCCGCCCCATCAGACACAGGTACCTCCCGAAACTTCCATGTCCGGTGAGGACCTGCGTCAGGCGGTAGGTGAGGACGCCGTAGCGTCTCTCAAGCCACTCCTCAAAGAGGGGACTTACCGCTGCGATGGCAGCGAGCCCAGCCCTCGGTTGCGACAGTCGTTGCTGCCATTCCGCCATGAGA